TAACAGGCAATCATTGTACCTTCAAATACACCAGTTTTAATAATTTGAAATCAGCTGTGGCAAGTGAAATGTTAGGCTAAACTTAACAAAGCTGTTGATTTCATATCAGGGATCATTTTTGTTATTTCATTCCAGCCTTACTTGACTTTGACCTGTTGGAGCTGTGCAGGGTAACTGGTCAACCATGACTGCTCTATTTTCCAGCTTGGCCAGTACAGCTCACAAGTCATGGAACTTCAGCCTGTTTATTATGAGCCTGGGAGCTTTATTGAAACAGTAAGTCTCCTGTCATTACTGCCTGCCTATGGCATGAATTCCCTGTTGATTAGACTCCTTGTGCATCTCAAGTTTTGTCAAATAGGTCATGTGTGTAGTTTAAAAGCTTTGATGTCCACTTTTGCTGTATAGATGTTCATCAGTTCAAAGAAATGCTGATTGTTATCATATTGTTGGTACTTCAGTGATGTTTGTGTCTGTTGTATTCAAGAGGTGGCTAAACTTTCAAAGAAGCATACAAATTATTACATGGTATGTTGATATTTTGCAGACCACTGGCAACAAGGTGAGCCGCCAGTCTGTTCTGTGTGGCTCCCAAAACACCATCCTCACTGGCAAGAACATCGTGGACTCTGGGGCCATCATTCGGGGCGACCTGGCCAGCATTCGAACGGGACGGTCAGTGATGGGGCCATCATTCGGGGTGACCTGGCCAGCATTCGAACAGGACGGTCAGTGATGGGGCCATCATTCGGGGTGACCTGGCCAGCATTCAAACAGGACGGTCAGTGATGGGGCCATCATTCGGGGTGACCTGGCCAGCATTCGAACGGGACGGTCAGTGAGCACCACCTCGCCCGCCCTCAGTCTCCCAGAACTGTGACAGCTCGTGCTGATGATGCCCATGGTATCAGCTCCGGCCAAGGTGGCAGTCGGTGGCGTCGATTGGTGCGACACCACATGTCGCACCACGTGTTATGCCATGCATGGTTCCATCCTCTGTGGTGTTGTATCATGCAATCTAGTTCTGCTTTCACGTGCCATGCATTTGTACCATGTCGTGCCACATCGTGATGTGCCGTACCGCGCGGTGAAAACACAGTGTGCGATACCCAGTGCGGTACGGTACCGCACGTGCGTCACATCCTGTCCTGCCGCGCCGTGCCGTGCCGTGCCGTGCCGTGCCGTGCCGTGCCGTGTCGTGTCGTGCGGACTCCGCGAAGGCTGACGGCACGTTCTGGCCGTCAGCTATTGCATCGTGGGACGGCGGGCGGTGCTGCGGCCGCCGTTCAAGAAGTTCAGCAAGGGCGTCGCCTTCTTCCCGACCCACATCGGCGACCATGTGTTCATCGGCGAGGGCTCCGTAGTCAACGCCGCCTCGGTCGGCAGCTACGTGTACATCGGCGCCAACTGCGTTATCGTAAGTGGCGCCGGCTGGTGCGCAGCGGGGGGTTTTCTGATCGTCTGTTGTACTTTTGCGAGCTGTTGAATGTTGTGGTAGATGTTACTGATGTGGCACTCGCCCAAAGTGTGAAGTTGTTTAATACTGATATATATATATATATATATATATATATATATATATATATATATATATATATATATATATTATATATTAGCGTGGTTTGGAGATCAAGTGCAGTCAGACCAATTCAGTTGTCAAAAGCTCATCATTGTCATGGGGGTTTTACGTCGCATTCAGCTGCTGGGGCTATATGGCGTCGCCTGCCTCTCGCCCTGGCAGGGAGGCCAAGTGCCGCTCTTGTCAGAGGCTGGCAAGCCACAAACCGACGGGTGGTTGTTGACAAGTAATTATGAAGGTTGCTAAATGTGGTGGTCATAAAAGTAGTGGACAAGTGGTCGCATTTACATTTTGTTGTTACATTTACATCTTGTACATTTTGCACCTTATTGACCTCTTGGACTGTTGGATCAAATCCCTAGACCTTCCGAGAAATCCTTGTGCTGACCCACTGACTCCCATGGTGAGCAGTGAACGGCTGTTCTGGTGTCCGTCAGCCGACGGCTCTGCGCTGCTGGTCCCTGCTCGCTGCCGCCGGCCCTGGGTGGGAGCCCTGCGCGCTGATCTGCGCTGACCCTTGACGCCCTGTGTCCGTCGTCCCCTGTCCGTGGGCGGCGAAGTGGCGCCCCCGGCCGCTGGTGTTCGCTGTCCCTTGTCCTGTTGATATCCACGTGGCAGTCTGCCGCTGATGCCCGTCTTGAGCGATGTGTCAGGCTCAGATCCACGTGGCAGTCTGCCGCTGATGCCCGTCTTGAGCGATGTGTCAGGCTCAGATCTACGTGGCAGTCTGCCGCTGATGCCCGTCTTGAGCGATATGTCAGGCTCAGATCCACGTGGTAGGCTGCCGCTGATGTCCGTCTTGAGCGATGTGTCAGGCTCAGATCCACGTGGCAGTCTGCCGCTGATGCCCGCCCCGAGTGATGTGTCAGGCTCAGGACCTGGACGATTGTGGTAGGATATAAGTCACCGGTATATGGTATGGGCGATCACATCATCATGTGTGGAGCATAAATCAAATTCAGCCAGAAATGGTGAAAATACTGTTTCAGGTTATATGCTTTACTAAATCCCAACTCACATTTTGAAACGTAAAGAACTGCATGCTGTGCCATGTTTTATGCAATTTCTCATTGGCATTTTGTAACTTAGAACTGCGTACGTCATGTTCCACCCAACTTCTTCGTGGATCGTTGGAAATGTTAAGACTGCTATACTATGTCATGATCTCCCCAATTTCTCCATCGTATGCGCTCTTTTTCACGGCAGGGCCGTCGCTGCATCCTGAAGGACTGCTGCTACATCGAGGACAACACTGTGCTGTCTCCGGAGACGGTGGTGCCGTGCTTCGCGCGCTTCGGCGGCTCGCCGGGCCGCTTCCTCTCAGAGCTGCCCGAGTGTGCGCAAGACCTGATGATTGAGTTCACGCGAAACTACCATAAGAACTTCGTGGCGGGGAAGTGAGGCTGGCGCGGCTGCGAGCGGCGACTCGAGAGGCCCGGCGACTCGAGAGGCCCGACGGCTTGAGAGACCCGGCGGCTTGAGAGGCCCGGCGGCCCGAGAAGCCCGGCAGCTCGGGAGGCTCGGCGACCAGTCTGCTCGCTGGTGCCGCAGTTGTGGTGCTTCGCACGATTGGTGGACTCCCGCGACCTCTGCTGCGAGTGTTTCGGCTCAGTCCGGGACCAGGCGTGGAGGACGGCTCGGCCCCGCAGCCTGGTGTGCAGCTGCGAGCAGAGTTGTCGCGAGGCCTTGGGAGTGGAGGATGATGAGCTGGGTCGAAGGGGTGAAGAGAGATCGTAACAGTGCGGTGCTGAACGAAGGGGACGCCACCATTGAATGGAACCGAGCCAGGGTACTGATCCTGTCCTGCTGAAAAATAAACGTCGTGACATTGCGAGCTAATAGCTATCGACTCAGTGCGCGGTATTCCACCCTTTCAAAATGTACGTAGACAAAATGCTCGCAGTGTTGCTTTCTGACCGACAGATGTCAGCACCTGACGTGATAAACTCGAACAGTACAGTCGCTGACTGTGACAGTACAGTCGCTAACTGTGACAGTACAGTCGCTAACTGTAACGCACCGACCGCCTTGCGTTGTTACGCTGAGGGGGGGGGGGGAGGAGGAGCTTCTAGTCGGGTTCTGTGTTTGGGTCGTGTGACGCCATCCATATTTATATTTACAGTGGTGTGCATAAATCTCGGTCGAACATCTTCCACTGTATAAGGTGTGCTATCCTAGCTTTACGTGTGAGTTTTGCCGAGCATCAGCAACATCTGGGGGCTGTGGTTAGCGTGTGACATTTTTGGCTACTGTCGCCCGCTTGTTATGACCATTCTTTCCATGCATTTTACGGTGTGTGTGCTGAAAGTCGTGCTACGCTGAATTCTACGTGAAATACACGTTAAGAACGCTACGATGGATGCCGTTGCCGGTGATGAAATCTCCTCGCATGACTGCCCAGCTGTGTGCGGCTGAGTACCAACATCTAATTGCGACGTTTGAGTGATTTTCGCAAGGGCCGTACGAATGGATTTTCAAGGACGGGGATCTATGTCTGCTGTTCTTGTACTCATAGCGCATCGTTAGAAATAAACACCCATTCCCGAATCAACCTCCCGCGGGCGTGGACAATGTGAAGGTGTACTGCAGGCTACTGAGCGGATTGTCCCATCATCCCAAACGATCATCGGTGCAGGATTCAGCACTACATTGAGACCATGCGCACATCGCGTGTGCTGTCGTGCAGAGCTGTCAGATTTTCTGAAAGCCGGAGGGGGGGGCTAAGCGAGACGCTCTCCTGGTTTATTCCACCCTCAAGCGACGATGACAGATGAAAAGCCGTGAGTGTGTAAGGCAAACCGCGCTGGTTTTCAGGAAAATAGCGTCGGACCCATTGGGCTCTCGCATCTGAGACGCCACTTATAAGAATAAGCCAGCATGAAGTGAGGGCTGAAACCCCGGCCCATTGCAATAGGTGCTGCCGTCTACAGTATGTCCCACAACTACAGCTTTTCAGCATGCCGCCTGATGACAGCACTGCTTGTATCAGTGCCGCTTCTGCTATTGAGGCACGCTGGCTGACGCTGTTTCCTGAACATGATATTACGCGCTTAACTGTACCATAGCCGGCCTAACTACACAGGAACACCACCTGTCCTGCTGGCATCACTCAGAGTAGGCGGGATATCAGCAAAGTGAACGACAAGGATGAATGAAGTCGCCAGGTTGCCCAAGGTTGTCGCCAACGTCCATTTTTCCTGTTGATCCAGTACCCACTGGCATCGTGTTTACACGGATTCGCCACATCATCACGCGAACCAAGTTCGACTTTTCATGCAGACGATGCACACATCCTTATTTGCACCCAGAATACATGCACGTCCTCTAACTGTCAGCACGTTGACGTCTGGACCCGACACGGCGTTCCACGCCGGGGCGAACCGTTGTCAGCACTGTTGTAAGCACCGCGACAGCTCGGGCGCCTGTGCTATACTGGAATGTGTGGCTCTAAGCCCGCCACAGACGGCCACGAGCTGCTCTCGGTTTATGAAAACATATGCTACAGACGTGAGCCTATGGAAATCGTTACCCAGCTGGTCGCTGATGTATAGTTATGTGCGGTGTGCGGGGAAATGACCTCCTTTCAAGGTTTTATAGGTGATTTCACACTTCTATGCGACTCTTAACTATGCAACCGGATTGCGAAATTGTGGAAAAATCCCCCGACTGGACATGGCACCGAATACATGTCTTCGGCCACCACTCTGCTGTCCGCATTTTCTGGCTTTGTGTAGCTTTCCTAACTTGTATTGCTTTCTTACGTAAAAAGGAGAACCATAGTCCTTCGCAAAGCGGGGAATGCCGCTGGACATAACGCATGCTTATGGAATACCAGGTCAGCACAGTTCTCATTTCATCAAAATAATACGGACGAACGCACCGATAATAATATTCGAAGACGACCTGCTTTATGCAAACAGTGTAGCTATTTGCCCGTGCACACCAAATGGCTACAACGAATCAAGCAGGGCGCGTCTACCCCGCCTGAATGACAGAGTAAAAACCCATGAACACGGACTCTGCTCATCGCACACTCACTGAGAAATTACATAATAACACGGGCGATAATTCCACAACCGTCCGCGTTATTTTGTATCATATAATCAGCTATAATCAGCTGTAGAAGT